ATTTTTTTTTTTTTTTTTTTTTTTTTTTTTTTGTACTGATGGGATTAGTAATTGAAATATCAATTGACAAAAAAAAAAAAAGTTTTTATAAACTGAAAAGTTTATCATACAGTTTTTGTGGATAAAAAAAAAGTATTTGAAAAACTGTAAAATCAATTTTTTCTTTTTTAAAATGGCGTCACCAAAAGTGGCAATTTTATTAATAAATCTCATCGATACTATTGTTTGTACACTAAACAATTTAAGTAAAAAAAAAGTGTAAAGAAAAGATGATTATTGTAAAACTAATATGCTTCAGGTTTACTTTTTTTACTCTTCTTTTAAACTCTATTTTACTTTTACGCATTATTGTTCTGTTTAAAATAGGATTGTTTATTTAAACTTTTACTGTTATGCTTCTCAGTGTAGTAAGATAAAATACAACTGATGAATAATCAAGTAAAGGTTCATACAAAAAAAAAAATTTATTTTTTTGAAACTTTATAAGTTACTGCTGATTAAAGTAAGTAATTTGACATATTCATCAATGAAAAGTCTGTTTAGTCTGTGACTTAACCAACTATTTTGCTGCTGATGTTATGACATATTTGTTCATTTGTTTGGCTTGTCTACTTCCACTGTGTCTCTCTATAAACCTGATGACAACAATAAGTTGAAGTTTAACCATAATGTTTTTTTTTGCTAAGTATGAAGGATATTCTGATTTTCAAAAACCGTTTTGGAAGTGTGTCACAAGTGAACACAAAAAAAAAGCATTGAAAACGTTAGGTGTGTTGAAACTTCATAATTTGTGCATTATTTGGCTGGATGTTTGGACCAATTGAGAGGATGGTATTTGAAGCCCGAAATACAATTGCCCAGAATTTGAAATTCTGTTTCTGAGGCCCTACAGAGAGGGCACTGTATTCGGTTGATAGTTGTCACTGTAAATATTTGACCAGCTAACATAAATTAATACTTTTGTATAGCAGAAGAAATATTCGTTTTCTTCGTTCCCCTATTTTTGTTCTGCTGTCGCGATGCAGAAAAAAGAGGCAAACTTGAAAAAAATGAGGTAAAAAAAACGCTAAAAAGCAGAGATTAGAGAAGAGAATTTTTTCTAGGTATATTCAAATTTTAACAGTCATTTACTGTGGAAACAGTTGATGGCAGCACAAATAAATGCAAATACTTTTGACCAAAATGATGCCAAATATCATACCTGTTTTAATACAGTTCATATCAAGGTAGGAAAACATTTAGTTTTCAATAATTAACACATTTATAGTTCTAGTGGTTCTAGTGCTATGAATAGGCTAACTAACTTATCAACAAATTTATTATTCATTAAACTTTGACTACTAGACATTGCTGATATACATCTTGGTCTTTTTTTTTCTTTTAGTTAGCAGCTCGTGTGGTATCCATAATATACATTGTTGGTGCAGTAAGCCATGTGATCTACGCGAGCGCTCGAGGGATGTCATTAGCGATGCATTCCTGGCTATCATTTGCCTTTTCCATCGGTGTATTTGGATGTTTGGTCTATGGAGTATTTAAAGAAAAACGTGTCTTCATGCTACCATATTTTATTTTTCAGGTTAATTGTATAGTTACATATAAATGTATATCTGCCTTTCCTTTATAAGCCTTTTCTGCTACCACTCTAAGTGACAAAAAAAAAACTGTTACTTAGAGAAGGTTTCTTTTTCTAAAAAAAAATTTTTTTTTGTACCCGAATTAAGAGTAACACTGATAAATTTTGTCAAGGTCGCTGGAATTGCAATAACTGCATTTGCACTAATTGTATTTATCATTTGTGCTGGCGTGTCACCGGAAACAATTCACGAAATTGCTGAAGACTATGGTGGTATCAACCTTAACGGTGATCCCAAAGTAGTTGCTACAGGTTAATTTATCCAACACTGCCCTTATATCTTTTCGCAGCATAAATATTAACTTAAGTACGAGGGTAAATATACAACAAACATAAAATCTAATTTGTTATTAATGTTATTCATCTAACTGTTTTTCTTTTTTTTTTTTTTTTCGTTTGCAATTAAATATGTGTAGTAAAAGACTGCAGAAAAAAAAAGATCCTAAAAAACAAAAAAAGTTTTTTGGTACGTAGAATTCCAATATTAAGTCAAAAACGGATAGAAAAACATGAAGAAAAAAGAAACTACGTAACTACAGTTTTATTCCGCCATCAATTACTGCTTCAAGTACTGCAGTAGATCAACGAAAATCAAGTAAAAATCATAACTTTTAAAATTTTTTGACAAAAAAACCAGTTATTTAGAGAATATTTGTACACTAAAAATTTTGGAAAAGCTTGCAAACTGGTTTACTAATGGCTAAATTTATTAGTACTAAATGAAGATAACACTGATCTTTTTCAGCAGTTCAAACGTTTACTGTGCTTTTCATCATTTTCATCTGCGTTTCGCTGCTATTACAAATTTTGTTCTTCGAGACCATCTATCGTTTCAAGGAATTCTTGTACGATCGTGAGAATTCATTTTCGTTCAACTTGGAAGGTGTTTTCCAGACAGCAAACAGTGTCTACTCAACAAATATGGATGATTTGGACATTATTGGAGGACCTGAAAATGTTTTGAAATAAGTTATTTTAAAAGCCTTGTGTACAGAAACAGGGTTTTAAAAACCAAAGTGTTCATTAAGATTCAGAAATCCAAAATTTTAACTCTTC